ATCACAGACGTGTATAACTCGTTTACTGAACAGATTTTAAGTTAACACAAACCCAGAGGGAGTGTGAAGCATATATATATACATATATCATCAGCGTGACCAGCTGAGTCCATGTAACCATGCCCGTCTGTATATTCTCGCACCAGTCCCTCAGTTTTTGAGATATCGATCTGAAATTGCACACGTCTTTTTCTCCCCAAGAAGATGCTTATATGTCGAAATCGCCGTTATTGAAACACTATAGCATATAGCTGCCATACAAACTGACCGATCGAAATCAAGTTCTTGTATGTTAAACTTTTTTTTTTATAACAATAAACATATCTGCACGAAATTTGGCATTATTCGCTAAGGTAAGGCTAAGAACATTTTGCTTAGATCGGACTACTATAACATATACATAGCTGCCATGCAAAACGTCCGATCGAAATTAATATTTTTTCTAGTTTTTGCCATAAATCAGCATAGTTTTATTTATTACTATGAGTCTAAATTTGTATATCAAGTAGAAAAAATAGTTGTGTCTCTACATCTGATTCCGTGCCTATTATCGAGTAACAAGAAACATTGCATTTCTTCCGTTAGCAGTATATCCAAGAGTGAAATGTGTGAATATATTATTGTGTAAACGAATTCTTAGCAGCCAGTTAAAACAAAGAAAATTTTTTTTTCAAATGCATCTCTGTTCTTTACTGTCAAAATCGTTCAGATGCGTGTTCTTTTGTGCATACATATGACATATGTAGGTTAAACATTTCAATAATCACAAAACATATATGTACATATCTAAAACAATAAATTAATGTTCAGATATACATATGTCTGTATAGAATTCTGTAATTTTTTTTTTGCTGCAATGCTTTATTCAACAAGGGATGGCTTTGTAAAATTCGCCAATCGATTGAAGAGCCTGCAAAATGGAACTGTCTAATGCGCTGAATGTACGATAAATATGCAGATGCTTTGCTTGCTGGAAAAGGAACTTAATGATTCCATTCATTCGTTTTTATTTTTTCGCTATTAAGCTTTATTGAAGTTGTTCTGCTGCATTTACAGCGCCGTTGCCAAGCATATACCATACTTGTACATATGTACATAGATATGCCATAAATGGAAGTGTAGAAACATCAATGGTATACCCTGCAGGCAAATGCACTATTTCCGGTCCGACACGATTCTCACACTCATAACGCCAACTTAATTATTACATTTCATATATTATATTTTCGAATTTTTTTCTAACGGTACATTTATGTCTTTGGCCATCGAGATTCGTACGCGCAGCGAAAGCGTGTGTTTTTAATTAACTTGTACCTTAACATTGTGGAGTTCGTATTATAACTAGTTAGTATCTACTCATAACTGGACTAGTTGTTATATAGTCATAAAAGGACTAGTATACATTTATTGTAGTCGCATTAGTTTTAAACTAGAAATATGTTTCACTTATATGAATTATTATTGTCTACATGCAAATGGAAATCAGCAATTTGTTCGCGCGCCTAGCCATATCGAAGTCAGTTAGACAACGAGTTCAGTTCACTGAGCAATACGCTGGGCGAGTGCAACATCACTTAAATGATGTGAACAGCGTGAAGGAAGACAGCATTTAAATATGGAACACAGCATGAAATACGTAATTTTCACAATAGTTGGAAAGCAGTCAATTGCAGAAATGCTAAACGAATTCGTTTTATTTCGGTAAAGTAGGTAGTTTTCTACAATGATAGATTGATAGTAAAATTGTTTTTTTTTTTTGTGAATATCTTGCACTGAAAAGCGAATTTATTTAAAGTCAACTTAAAGGCTTCACAAATCACTACCGTCGAGAATGTGGTGTTACAAACCTCACTGTATTATTTATTTACGTTCTCTTATACCCATTTCGTTAATATATTGTATATATAAAAAAAAATTATTTCAACTTGTAAAGTTAAAAAAAAATTATTTTTAGTGCAAACTTCAATTTTACAACAGAAAATTAATTTTGCCAAAAAATACCTCTAAAGCCATGAGAAATACAAAATCATTAATTTGCTCACGCAGAGGCCTAATTTCTTTAAATCCATTTAACTTCCTCGCTATCTCGTACATTTGTTACACGCTGTATTTATCAGAAACCTCTTGCCTCTTAATCATCATCAACCTCACCATCATTACCGTACACATTATTACCGACCTCTACGTTATCGTTCCAATCACCATGACCAACACCAAAAACCGTTGTCAGCCCGCAATGTCACGATAAACGCAAGCCAAGCGGCGAACGAACGCGTCAGCGGGCGCGAACGGAAAAGTGGGTGCGCGACTGACATGTCGGAAAGTACCGAAACTAGGTCAACAAAAAAGAATGTTAAAGGATTTTCTATGCTACCACATTTTATACACTCTCTCACTGCAATCATAGTAAACGTTGAACGTTGTGCTCTGTCCGCTAAATACACTCTTGTGCTCGCTTGTTTTCTCACCCTTTGAACCATTGTTTGTATTCTGCCTCATTATACTTATGAACATGTGTAGGCATGTTGATGCTTTTGTTTTTATTACTTTTCATTTATATCAACTTGTTTGCATTTATATACCTTAATGCACACAAATACTTATGGTACATACATATATCGTATGTACTAAATACTTACATAGCAGCGTGGCGCATTGCCCGGCTGTTGCGTGTTGTGGGTGGCAACGTTGGCAACCTTGTCGTGGTTAACGCTGTGAAGAAATCGATTCGCCGCAAATATTTGTACTTTGTTTAATATGACTTTTTTTTTGTTGTTGCTTATTGTGGTTTTTGTTTTTTCCATTCGACATCAACTGCATGTTTTCATTCCGCTTTAACGGTTTCTTTTATCACCTGATAGGAGTACATTTCGTCGTCAAAGATTTTGTGAACTGAAAGTTCTCGTTTGGCTCTCGAGTGCGTATTGATATCTTTATAATTCATCGCTTCCTTTGGAATTGTTTCGTGTCATCTAATTCGTGAGTGGGATTGTGTCGATCAACAAGTTCTTATTGTGATAAAATTTACGTCGGGTCTCGTTATTTAATTTGTACACATTATTTATGTTGGCACAACAACATGTCGGTATATGTTGTTGTGTTATGGCTTTATTAAACAATTATTAGTCATGAATGCGTCTTGAGTTTATATGGAAGTTATTGTTTTTAAAAGTAAGCTGGCAAGCAACCTTATGTCAACTTGCTTGCTTTGAGATAAGAAAACTTTAAAATAGTAAACACGCATCATTTCGAGCGGTAAGAAACTACATATTTTAGCGTTCATAGAGAGTCAGTCAAATCTGCCTGATAATAACGATCTCGCTATAATCCCTATTTATAAAATTTTGTAAAAAGGAATCCATAATTTTTAAACTGAATTGAAGACTTTATTTAGCGTAGTTAGAATGATCCGATTCAAGTCAAATATTCATCACTCTCAGCTACACTCATTCCTATTGGCAATAAGCTGGGACATTCGATTTTCACAAGCATATCTTGAGGCGACTTTTTTCCAGCAAAATCATTCACCATAGAGGAAAACATATAGAAATCATTTAATCGTAGTTTCGGACTGTGAGATGTGAGGTGGTTGCCATAAGAACCAGGCTCTTTTGTTTTTGGCGTGTCACTATTTATGTTTGTGGTTTGACGTTGTTCAGTTGGAAAATAATTTCTCTCCTTTTGACCAAAGCTGGTCACTTTTGTGCGATTGCTTTCGCCAGACGGTTCAATTCATGACAGCACCGGTCCGAATTAAGAGTTCGGAGGTTTTTTTGCGTTAGTTCGCGTAACAACCATTCGAGCTGCTTCTTCTATCTTTAACGCGTGCTCAAATAATAACGAGTCAAACGATTACAAAGCTGTTTAGTACGAAATCTTATCTTTCAAACGACATATAGCATATAGCACTCATACAAAGCGAGCAACAAATTAGCAAAGCCATTAATTAGAGAATTAATGGATTTCTTTTTACTAGATCATAGTTCTAAACTTAGTTAGAAATACGACTTTCTTTTGGGGACATTAATCAAATAATCATTTCCTACCCATGGAAATTTATGAGGTATAATATAAAAAATTTTGAGGCAAAAATTTTCCCGCGACGGGTGCTTTTTACAATTTTGAAAAATTGAAAAATTTAAAAAATTTTAATTTTGGTAATTTAAAAAATTTTTTTTTTCTTATACCTCTTAGTGTCCTCTATGAACGCACCAGCGTTTTTTTTTCATAATATACAATAGTTTCTGAAATATTAAATAAATAAACTCATAAATCGGAAAAACAGTGAAAAATTTCAATTTTGAATAACTCTTAGGAGTTTTCCTTTGGCAGAACTTCGTTTTATGATGATACAAAACTCTCTGCCAAAATTCATCCAAATCGGTGGTTGTCGCGTCCAACTATTTGTCGATTTGACATAAAATGACTCAACTGGTTTTCTGTTATTCCTTTTATGTTAAACACTTTTTAACCTCCCTTATGATTATACTTATTTATTATAGTCGTAACCAAATTCAAAAATTAGAATTATTGGATACTGCCAAATTTATGTAAATACCGATAAATATTTATCAATAAATATCGACACTTTATTGATTTTCCTCCTGGAATTATTTGGTTACGTTTACATATCTGTATGCCTGCATATATATCAATATGTATAATTACGTGGTTTTTGGTCACATTATTATCATTGGTTTCTTTTACGCACAAGCGCATCCAAATCCGTTTGTACAAAAATAGATTTTCGGCATAGATACTAAATTAAGCAAAATTATTCAGTGGGTGAGCTAAATAATTTATTTCCGCGTGTCCTTTATGGGCTATATACCATAGCTCAGATCTACATCCAAAAGTTGCTATCATAGTTTACAGTGTATGGAAATAAAAAGAGAATAACGCCTTTAAAAAATCTAGATACATACATATGCACTTTATATCTTCCAAATTACCGTTACTACATTGTTATTAATATGTGTTATTTTTGTTGTCTTTTACAGATATTCCAGACATTCCTGATGACATCAAACACCTGCAAAACCTACAGGTTGCTGATTTCAGCTCAAATCCGATTCCAAAATTACCAGCTGGATTTTCTCAACTCAAAAATTTAACAGTTTTAGGTTTAAATGATATGTCACTTACCACATTACCAGTTGATTTCGGAAGGTAAGTTTTTTTCTAAAATGTTCAGACTAATAAATGTTTTTGTTGTTGTATCCTTTATCAAATAATATAAATTAGTCGCAGTTTTAATTGTTATCGATAACTATTGACGGGTATTGAGGGGTATTGACAATTATTTGACATTGACAAAGTGATCAAGTATTTTGCTTTGAAGCTATGTTTTATTAACATTTTTATTTTTGATTACAATAGAGGATTTGTAAACGGTGAAAAATTGTCAAAAATTCGATAAAATTAAACTTCTGATTTATTAATTCAATCAACTAATAAAATGTAAAACACAATTAAATTATAACACAGGCCGTAAATTATAATTTTTTTTTATTTTGGAATTCCGATGATGATTGATTTTATTTTTATTTCTTATATCTGTTTCTGTTTCAATTCCAGCTTAACACAACTGGAATCATTGGAGTTGCGCGAGAATCTATTGAAACATTTGCCTGAATCGATACGACAGTTGACGAAGCTTAAAAGATTAGATTTAGGCGACAATGAAATTGAAGAACTGCCACCATATTTGGGCTACTTGCCCGGTCTGCACGAGCTCTGGCTCGATCACAATCAGTTAGAGAGGCTGCCACCTGAAATTGGACTACTCACCAATTTGACATATCTTGACGTTTCCGAAAACAGGTAAATTTCGTTCATTGTTTCCTCGCTAGATCGCGCAATATAATTTGTCGTAGTCAACGTATTGGGTATATCGTATATTATATTAACATATGTTTTCGTTATTATTTTAGTTTTTTAATATATTTACAAAACATGTAATTTCTGTATTGCAGGCTGGAGAAATTACCAAATGAAATCGGTGGCCTCGTAAATTTAACTGATTTAGATCTGGCGCAAAATTTACTTGAGACCCTGCCCGATGGAATCGCTAAATTAAGCAGACTGACAATTCTAAAACTAGATCAGAATCGCCTACAGAAATTGAATCCAACTATTGGATGGTAAGTATATTTATATAAATACATATGTATATTTGTAATTTAAGTGTATAAGTCTCTTAAATGCTAATATGTTTAATAAAGTGATACAATTTTGCTAAGATTTCGAGCTCAAAAAGTGATCTTTGTGTTCTTATCTGTATACTTATCTTACAAAATTAATGCACCATTAGTCATCAAATATATTCTGAACAGGGTATATTAAATTTGTCACGAAGTTTGTAACACCCAAAAGGAAACGTCGGGTCCGTATAAACTATATGATCAGTCTCACGACCTGAGTCGATATAGTCGACATGTCCTTCTAGCCTAGAGCCTAACTAGCCCCTCAGTTTTTGAGATATCGATCTCATATTTTGTACACATTCCTTTCTTCCCAAGAAGTTGCTCATTTGTAGGAGTCGCCGAAATTGGACATCTGTAGGATATAGCTGTGATACAAAATGCCTGATCAAAATCAAGTTCTTGTCTGAAAAATTTTTGTTGTAGCGGCAGAATTTTGTAGAGTTGACAGTCCTTGGCCGGAAAAAATCCGGGTCCGTTCCGGTTACGTAGACCCGACTGTTATGGAAACGGTATTATTTTTTGTCTAATACAGCGCTATAATCGGTCACTCAAACTGATCAATCGAAATCAAGAAAAAAAAAGTTAACGTTTTTCCTTTTTTTCATTATGAAATTTAAAATTAACCTCTAAAAGATGTATTAGGTTTTGCTTAGATGCATTATGAATATATGTGCTTATGTGCACAAGTACGTCAGTCGCTGACGTCACCTTGATGATTTGTTTGTCTGCCTCGGGGTTTCGTGGTTGACTAACCGCAATTGTTGTTATCTACTTTCCTCTATGAATGCACATACACATACACCTACATACCTATATATATATATATATATATATATATATTTAATATTATATAATTTATAACATTACTCTATTATTTCACTATTTATAAACCCATTGGCGTTTCCTTATCTCTTCTAGTTGCGAAAGCATGCAAGAGCTGATATTGACCGAAAACTTCTTATCAGAATTTCCCGTATCGATTGGGCAAATGACTAAATTGAGCAACCTGAACGTGGATCGCAACGCATTGGAATACCTACCGGCCGAGATAGGTAATTGTGCAAATTTGGGCGTTTTGAGTTTGCGCGATAACAAATTAAAGCGACTGCCGCCAGAGTTGGGCAACTGTTCGGTGTTGCATGTGCTGGACGTGTCGGGTAATCAGCTGCAATACTTGCCATACACTTTGGTGAATTTGCAGTTGAAAGCTGTTTGGTTATCTGAAAATCAGGCACAGCCGCTGCTAACGTTCCAGCCGGACACAGACGAGGCAACAGGTGAACAGGTGAGTGTACCGCGACGAGTATGCGTTCTAAGCCAAAGTACACAAGCACAGCAGAATGACGGATAAGTGGTGCATTTATACAGATATATTTATATAGTATATCTATATACATACATATGTACATGTTATATATTTATGTATCTATACATGTTGAGCATGTGAGGTTTGTGTGATATGGGTGAAGAGCGTCGCAGGAAGTGCGCGCTGATTACGTTGGATTTTGTTGGTGCATGCGCGTGCCAAACGTAATTATGTGAAGTAGTTACGCCTTGTCGCTGCCAGCAGAGCTTTTGTTGCAACCTCATTACCCATAGCGTCGTCATACTACACAAAAACATATTGACGCTGTTTATGCATGTAAATATTTCTTAATATTTACATTTTACATATTTTCTGCTTTGTTTTAATTTTTGATTTCGCTTGTGTATTTCGGTTTGGAGTTCTAAATAACCCGTTTTTGCATTTGTAAATGCGTAACTAATAATTGTGTGTTTTGTTTGTTTTTACTTATGTCTCTTCTACCCCGTTGATTTCTGCTTAGGTTTTGACATGCTTCCTACTGCCACAACAAGAATATCAACCGATTACGCCAGGTGAGTTTCCAATCGTATTTTATGGTTTGTTTACAAAAGGTTATAGTATTGAAATACTTTTACGAAATTATTATTGATTAAGCGCTTTGGAAATTTTTTTATTATGTGTGCGAAAATTTTTCTTCTTCTTTATATCATTTCGTACGGTAAGGGTAGTCGTTGTGTGTGATGACGTGAGTAGAGCGCTTGAGCTCTCAGCAAATTAGCTTTGCCGGTGTGTTAGCGTTTGTATCGTTCTATTGTCAGAAATGATTGAATCGTACAGGTTTTCGCATTAGCGTTTGCAGCCGTCCTGCGCGCGCTTTCCATTATCTATGTTTTAAGTTTTTTGTTTACCTCATTTTTAACCTGTTTTATTGCGTTGCCAAGAATAGGTATAAAGCGCATACTAGTTTTGTTTTCGTACAGGTGTACACATACACACACACACACAAGCGCGTTGTGCACAAAAGATAACAGCACATCGATCGTATTCACCATATCTATAACGATAACATATAACCAAGTTAAGCAATCTTTTTATTTGCGTCTCACTAAAGATATGAAATAAGCGAAATTTTCATAAGCACCATCGCACGATATTATATATAAACAGTGGAATGTTTATTAGATTAATTAATAACATAATTTGTAAATTTTCTCAAGCAAGCAGCTCTTATATTTAGACGTATTGTGTAATATTTTATAAATTTACGGTCGTGTAGCTTTTGGTTTTGGATTTTTTTTTGTGTATTTTGTCGGTTTTAAGTGAAATGTATATATGTACGTATGCACGCGGCCACGCCTAGCTTACACCAACAATTTGCGACATTTTGCTGATTAATTCTTATATAATTTGAAAAAATAACTCAGCAATATTTTCAAAATTTTAAGTTTATTTTTTTTTTTACAAATTTTAATAAGTAGCATTATTAATGTAGCACTCGTTGTAAAATTTAAATCAAAATTATATGTGATGGCGATCAAATAATAACTGAAACATTATGTTTTAATAATTTCATAAAATAATAATTCATTAAATAAAATAAAAAAATTACAATTAATATATGCTTAAGCCTACTATGTACGCACCTCTGTTAATTTATTCATTTGTGTTTAAAGACTACCCACCGGGTCTACTCTATAGATCGAGCGAAAAATTCGATTCGTCGGAGTTCCACGTTTACCAACAAAAAGGTTTGCCGCCATGCGATTGCGTAATTTGTTTATTTTATTTATTTGTTGATCTTTGCTGCTCGAACCTCATAGCCATAATTTCAATTGAATTTTAAACAGTCTTGAAGTTTTAGTTTAATTAACCGCATTTGCATTATAAAGTTAAACTTATAATATGTATGAATTCGTATAAATATATACAGCTATAAATACATTTAATGTTTGAGTAACGCTTCCCTATAATTTTACATTCATATATTATAATATGTATATTCAAAGTATGTGCATAATAAATAATAAAACTAGTATTAAAGTATTAATGCGAAGCCAAACCTTTAACAAACCAGTTGAATTCCAAATTAGATTTTATACAATAAATAATTAATTAACAAGATAATATGTATGTATAATAATAGTAGAAAGGCTAAATTTAGTGATTGACACATAATTTTATGTGATGCAACAAAATCTACTAACAATTAAATGCGAATGAAAACTAAAACAATAAAAAAAAAATAAATAAATAAAATTTTTAATGCTTATGCTTTAATTTTGTATTGCATTAATTTTTTATTTACAAAATAATTTGCTTTTATTTTTCAGTAGTTGCAATATTTTTTATTTTTACTTTTTATTTTCGCACGCAAATTACTCTATTTTATAAATTAGACATCCCTGACTTAATATCGTAAACGACACTAGTTTTCAATCGAAAAATCTCACGTCAAATTATCTGCTTTAAAAAACAAAAAAAAAAACAAAACGGGTTTTTTCATGGTTTAAATTACTATGCTAAGTTTTCTCAAAAATTCAAACCTGCTGTTTTTACAGCTGGTTCTACGAAATTACATATAGATGAAATATGAAATGTTTTTTTTTTGTTTTTGTAAAAGATAACAAAAGACTTGTTTATTTAAATTTTTCAGTTGCATTTCGAGGTTATGTGAAAAAAAAGCGTAAACAATAAAGTAGTAGATATTTTTATTACCTACAAGTTTCTCATGCAACTTTGTTCCATAGAACTTGTAGTTTTTTCGGAAATCGTGATAAACCGTATTTTACTCTTAAAAACTCAACCACACTCCTTCCTTCCACTTCCCGTTAACAGATTATGCGTAAATTGTAATTCTTTTAATTTTTGTTATAATCTCTTTATTTTCCAATGAGTTTCATCTAACTATTATTATTTTTGGTTTCAAAACTATCGTCTCTGCTCTATTAGTAACAATTTTCGTTAATATTTTTTGCGGAATTTAAATGTGTCTAATTAAATTTTAAATACATTTACCGCAATTAGTAGACACGCGGCTAGTTAACATGCTTTTTTATTGGTCTGCATTTGAAGCTTAAATTTTTTGCTTTAATTTGAGGCCAAAAAATTAACAGTTTTAGGCATTTTTTGATATGCATATATAATAAACTAATACGTTAATATACAGTTATTAATAAGGTTGGTCCATTTTCATATATGTATATGTCTGTATATACATATGTATGGTACATACCTATCCATTTGTTTGGCCATCAAATCAGCAGCTTGTCAAGATTATTGAGAAGTGATAGTTGTAGACAGTCTCTCAACACTCACTACATGCACATTATTTACGACTTACATATATGATGAAAATTTATTCATATTTATTGAGTGTAGTGTTAGTAGACTTCGTAGAGCTGTATGCAAGCTTGAATCATCAGTCTCGAGTACAAGAGTTTATTATTCTTTTATACAATAAATTCACCTATTTGACCTAAATATTTAAATGTACGACAAATTTAGATATGTATTCAGTTGTGTATATATACATATATATATATATATTATATATATATATATAATGTACCGGAAACGGGTTCCTACTGGTCTTCTTATAAGTAACTTTGCATACTCGCGCCATAAGCTAATTTGAATTCTCACTCAACGTTATGCCTTATAAAGACTCTACAACTATAATTCATGAAAAATATGTATACAAGTATGCATTTATGTTATTAACAGTGCTATCACAGTTATTTATGATAATGTCGTGCCAATTAACCGGCTGCGTTATGATTTGCTACTTGAGTCTTTTACTGTATAGATTTAGTGACCATAAATGTGCCATAGACTTTACTTATAGAACTAACAGCTGATCAATGCGAGCGGTTCTTAGACTACCAACCGCTTTATACGTGAGTTATGCTGTGTGACGTCAGCTGTGTTGTGAGTATGGGGCGTTGCCCAGCGCAAATTGTATGGTTTCTTTTAGAAACTTTGATCATGATTCAGTTTGAGGTTGTTTGTAAGGCGGTGTCAAGAAATATTATAGTGGAGTAACAACAAAAAGCAACGACGCGAAATATATTCAAAAGCGGAAACATCATGTAACACAGATTAATGACGTTAATTATGTTTTTATGTAAATGAAAGTAAAAAACCAAAAATAAAAGCTAACATGAATGTGATGTCTTAAGCTAAAAACTCGTTCTAATGTAGCTTTTGTTAAGCGAAAACCCATTTTCTGTTTCAGTGTTGCTTGATGATCGACCTTGATTCGTATTTCCGGTGACTCTTTGAAGCGTGTAATTTGTAATACATTTTGTAAAATATCTTAAGCTTTCTTTTTTTTAGAAATTTATAAATTAATGTAAAGTAACTGATCTTCACTTAAGCACGTTTTTGCAGGCTAAACGGTTTTAGATTTAGCAAGTTCATATTTTGCGCAGTAGATCACTTATATATAACATTAAAATATCACAAAAGAAATACATTTTTTTTTAAGTTCCAAGTAATAGCAAGCGCTCGTGAAAGTATTCCGTACAAAATTGATTTCTCGCTTTTTAACGTTTCAAAAATTTGAAAAATTATTATTGTTGTTTTTATTCATATTTAAATAAAGCAAACTGTAATTTTTACGTTTCGAAGATTGAGTAATTTTTTACGCACAAGTAATTGGTACAAATCTGGTATTTTTCGAACTAGTTAAGTTCTGGTCCAACAATTTCAATTGTATACTTGTTTATTTCTAACTAATGTGACCAAAAAATCTACAAAAGCATTTTCAATTATATTTATATATATTTTATACTTTTATGTGGTATGTATACAGACACTTATGTATACATAATCCATACAAATAGTAGTGATAATGAAATCAAAATCTATTTTCTGAATGGAATTTCATAGTAAAAAAATATTAGATATGAAATTAATCATTTAACATATTGGTCACCAAAATAGGTTATCAGCTATAGCGGAAGGTCTAGTTGAACGTTTATTATCTTTACCATTGAATTGTGGTTTGGTAACGCTTGTGGGCTTACCAAAATGATGGAAGAGCGATAATTTCCAAAAAATTACTTACATAAATGCTTCTGTTTACAAATATAAATTAAATGAACCTGCTTAAGGCGCATTCTAAGGTAAATGCGCTTTTATAAATTAATGAAAATTGTTTCGGAGATATGAGCGAATTTTTTAACTTAGTGTAATCGGCTTCTAAAACTTTAAACACGCATTTCTCGAAACACTGTTTTCAAAGTCGGTGAGGAAAATTTCTCCGAAACGGCTGAAACGTTTTCATACGACCATCTTAGATGTATTTATCAGGCAATGATTGCAGTGATAAGATTTCTGATAAAAAATTTTAAGTCACAAGTGTAAATTTTTTTTTACAAAAAATTACTTATTTTTGAAAAGCCGCCATTTTGTCAAAAATCAAAATTTTGACTAGTCCTTTCATCGTTACTTGTGTTACCTATTGTAATAATATTTTTTTTTCAATTTTGGCTTTGAGAAAACTTAAAGTAGACAAAATCTATCCACCGTCAGATACCGTTTTTAGGTCTTCCAGGAGTTCGGCTATGGAATTAAGAGAATCCAAAATTTTTCAAAATGAATCGCCGACTATTGAAGTACATTAAATTCCGTAAATGTACTTTTTATTTTATTTATTTATTAAATAAAGTACCTCTTAATACACAAAACCAAAACGCGGTTTTTCTGACCTGCAAATGTATATAAACACTTAATATAATATATTACAATGTTCTAATGCATTTGGTTAGAAAAATGTGTTTTGCAACACGTAGTTTAAACTTGTTCTCATGTTTGGATGTATCTAAAGCAAATTAACAGCAGCAAAAAACTGTTTTTAGTGATCTCTATACAAATATCTGTGTTCAGCGCTACAAATCTGTTATTATATATTATATAAGTTGTATGTATTAACTTATGAAAGCGGTTAGATGCAACGACTTCGAGACACAGCGAGCTGTCATGCCAAAAGTACATATTATAGACTTTGCTTAACCTAATAAATATTTATCCAAAACATTTATATTCTCAGTTGTTAATTAATAATAAATTATATTCAGCGACATTTTACGTTCTCGTCTAATTGTTATCTTCTAAAGTCTAATTCAACCATAGGCGTACACTAAAGTAGGGGGAAAAATTGCTATTTACTGAATACATTGTATGCTATTTGTGCTAATATTTTCAGCATACATTTTATTTATATTTAATTTTTCAATTATCATTATTATCCTTTACAATCATTTTACACTGTAAACTATGAATTTTTGTTTGGCCGTTTCTACTATGCCCAGCTATTCGTACATAGAGTGTGTTACTACGGTGCAAACGCAGCAGACATGTACGCTGCTTGTTATAACTAAGTAATAATATTTTGTTAAGCTCAAATTATCTACGTTAACTTTGCCTCGTGTGCTATTGCTATTGTTGCCATTATATATCTACATAGCTTATGTACACTCTCATGCGTACTTAGGCATTTATGTATATATCTACTTATGTGCTGTCTTATACACAAACGTAGTCAACCTTCGATCTACATGCGAGAATGTATGTTTGTATATGGTATATCTAAGTAAAATTTTGTTGTCATTGCTTAGGTATGAGCGTCGTCTATATTAATATTATATGGGCGTTGGTAACAGTTTATTCACGCTAAGCATAATAATAATATTTACATAAATCTTCATTCTAGCACCAAGAGTGCCGTGAGTAACGCATAATTTAATTGAATAATAAAAAAATTAGAAGTAGAACAATAGGTCACAGCAATTTCCATGCTAATACATACCTCTACATATGTATGTATATATATATATATATATGACAGTAATTTTCTTTAGTTAGCACAAGTGTTCTTTTGGAATGCACAAGTGTTACGTTTCTTATGAAATGTATGTATGTACATATGTACATATGTATCTACTAATACTACGCAATTTTTTAATTTATGTAAAAGCTGCTTCATTTAAAGTTACTATGTGATAAATTTGGAAGTTACTTCACTGCTGTCAACAAAAAAAAAAAACAAATATTAGTATCTTATTAACCTTCAAATGTCCAAATTCCAACTCTTCTCGATTTTTGAACCATAAAATAGTTTGAGTTCGGTGTTTTCCTCGAAATCAATCAACTGCTCGTTACCATGTCTTATACCGACTACAATCTTCTAAATGCTACTTTTGAAGTTCTCCGCCAATTCAATCGCTTATAAAATGCAGTGAAACATCTAAACTTTACTCTAACACCCATATGAGATATAAAAGCGCCAGTATAGTTGCCGTTCAACAACAGCACAAGTATACCAAAATATACATTACGTGTGGATAACGACTACTTGTATATAGTTTCGATTACTATCAACCCTTTTTATAGTGAAACCTATTGAATATCTTTAAAGAGAATATGTTTAGTTTTTATTTATTTACGATAATTTATCAATTTCGAAGCAATTTTCAGAGTTTTTCTTTGTGCAATATTTTTTTTAAAATCTGTATTGTCTATTGATAAATTAATATGATTAAATTAGTTTTTATAATTGTAATAATTTTGTTTAAACTTAGCTGACCATTCAGCCCGGTTTGGCCGGAAAAATAATATAAGCAATGTTGTCAAATACTTTGTACAGTGTTTGGCAAAAATGTAAACTCAGGGTTGTTATCTGCGTTTTCAAATATAGTAGCCTTCCGTAAAATATAATCCGACTATAGTATAAATCTCAGGTACACCGGCAACTATAATCAAGTAGCCTTCCTCATTTACACCCGATAAATATGGTCTTTTTTATAGTGATTATACATACGGTTTTGGTGTCGACGCCCTCGTCTATACTCAATTTATTTTTTAAGTTCGATGTAATTTTTCGTGTTCTGATTAAAAAATCGTCTAACTCATTTAAAATTACTACCTTCCTAGAAGCTGATCTTGTTGAAATTAGCTTAAGTTCAGCAAAGAACCGAAAATTCCCGCTTTTAACATATTTGTAATTTTTTTTACATTTGAGTTTCTATCCTAGTAAAGTAATCAGCTGCTTAGCATATTAGAAATTTTAGTTATGCCTTTAAAATTGTAGTATTTTACATGAATTAGCAGTTCTCCGGTTCTAAATTGTTTTGGAACGTGCCTAAAGCGCTGACAAATTTCCATTTTTCACACTAGAATTATTTATATTGTAATAATGTCATTTTATAAATAACCTATCTAGCAATACTTATAAAAATAACGGACCTTACTATATAACTAATACATCTGTTTATTATATTGAATATACAATATATAACTACTTCTTTAAGCAATATTACCCATAATTATGTCGAGTCACTCAATTAAATAGAATGCCGTTAACAGCAGTTGTTACTAGTATTGCAAGACTGATAATTAGTACTAACTATAAAATATTTACTCTGAAAGAAATTTTTCATTATTGTGAACTTAGAATGCTTAAGCTGTAAATTAGCGAAGCATGCTCAGAACATGAAAAATGTTCAACATTACTACTGTATTTAACCATTACAAGCATATCAATAATTTTGAATTATCATAAATATATACCTACTGTCATATATTCGTAAAAATACCTGTTACAATAATATTTTTACTAAACTTCTGTACTTTTAAACTTAGCACGCGAACTTGAAACCGATTCGGATGGCTGGGAGGAGCGTGAAGCTTCAAGAACACATTCCGTTAAATTCTCCGAAGAATCCACACAGGAGAAGGACACACCGTTTGTCAGACAAAATACACCACATCCCAAGGAGCTGAAGGCAAAAGCGCATAAACTCTTTGCCAAAGATCGCAGTCGACCGGATGACGGCAATTTGGATACAGTCTCCGAAGAAGTAAGTATACTGATATGCATATTGTAGCAATGGAATTTAAACTTTTATATTACGACAGCGTATTATTTTCAACTCAGCCGATAAGCTTTGAACAAAACTAAACTTTTCATCATTTACCATTTATCAACTTTATTTGCAGGCATCATCAAAGTTCGCTGTTAGCGGCACTGCCCGAATCGGCGCTAATTCCACCATAGTAGAGAATATAGCAGAGACAAAACCCATCTATGAGAATCATCAACAGCAGCCGCCAACAACAGCAATTTCTTTCGCGCCACAGCCGATTATTGCACAGACAGCGGGCACACAACAACAGTCCGCGATTAACGCTGTAACAGTACATGAACCGATTGCAAGCGTTGCGCCCGAACATGGCAACGCCGCTGTAGTGGTGGCCGCAGCAGCAGTAACAGCGGCAGCATGCGTTACTGGCGACGAGGAAGAGGAAGACTTTGTAAGTGTAGACACAAACCGTTTGCAAGTTACTCAGCTGTTAACCGTTACGTGCTTTAAACATAACATTTCGAATTCGAATGAAACTAACAGTTTATGTGTGAATTTTGTTTTTGCTGTTAATTTACAGGATGAAGCTGAAAGGCGTGTGGGTTTTCAAGTTGAGGGCGAAGATGATGACTTCTACAAGCGGCCAATGAAATTGCACAGACGGTAAGGGGGTACTTTTTAATTATACGTATACAACTGTTGATTTTGTGTGATTTCACTACACTTTTGTTGTAATTAATTGCTGTGGTTAATTAAAGAGTTCTTATTAAAGAACTGCAACATACATTTAGTTAATCTGTTATTTCTTATACACAATATTTTTTATTTGATATCTGCAGCGACACCCCGCACCATTTGAAAAACAAACGTGTGCAACATAATCTCACCGATAAAAAATCAAGTGAAATTCTCGCTAACGCTTTGAATCAAGAAAAGAAAACGTCACAGCTGGCTCCAGTTCAATCGCCCATTCAAGAAAACGAGGCTGCTGAGCAGAGTGAACAACAACAATTGCAGCAGCAACAACCTTTTGCCGCACCAATTTCACCCATACCACCGCCAACGGTGCCTGGTCCACTGCCAGCAGGACAATTACTTGATGGTGAGTATATTTCTCAAGTTCAATTTTATTTCTTTGCTAAAATTAAAAAAAAAAAAAATTAATATTTCCTCAACATGTGTCGAATGTCTTAATTTTTGAAGCTCTTTTTAAATCTTAATCAGTACTATGTATATACTACATACATATGTATATAGTATTTTCAAGCGTATTTTATATGTATGTATATGTGTACGTATCTACATACGAGTATGTAAGTTAATTAGTGACGAATTCGCGCATTCCTCAACGCAAAACAATCGATAAATCAATAGATTAGGTTGTGAAATGTGCTTATGACGTTTGTTAAACGTTAGTTGAACAGCAAATTCTAAATCTACGGGTATAATTCTGTAAAAATAATGTATTCTTCAAAATGTATGCAGAGAATACGCAAACCTATACTTTTCACATATGGTTGATCAGCCAGTTAGTTACCAGTTAGTAGTTAGTTAATGAAAATTCTCAAAAAAATTACAAATAATTTATTTGATACCCAAGTCTTTATATACCTATTTCTTACTATTGACTTAAAAAAAATTGGAAATTTATTTATTTTTAATTTATAATGTTAATTTGACATTATCATATTCAGATTAAGGTTAATTCGGGTTAAGCTTGGAGTTATGTCATTAGTGCAAGTATGCTAAACGAAAACATACTCCTTTACTTTAAAACAAAGTAAATATTGACTGAAAAATAATTTCTAAAATTTTATGAAAGTCGTATTTGGAAAGTCTCGAATAGTGGTGAACGACCATAAAGTTAGGATAGTAATAGAGTTAATAAAATATTGTAGCAAATCGGCAGCCAGTGTAGTTTTGTACTTTAATTTAATCTAAGAAAAAAGTGAAGAGTGTAAGAAAGGCTCTTATAAAGCTAAAAAACGGGATTAAATAGGTATTAATATCTGTCAACTTTTTGAATAATGAAGTTTAAGATCGAAAAACTCGGAAGAAATGATAAAGATACCTCAGCCATGAAAAATGAGTATTATGTCAAAATTAAGAATGGAAAGTTGTTGAAAAATTTTGTTAGACTTTTCCATGGCAGATTTATTAGCAAGGAAATTCTTAAAATATTGTATTCCTTAAGTTTTTTTTTTAACTCATTTCTCATAGCTAACGTATGTATTTACAAAAAAGTTGAGATATACATTAAGAATGTCCGAAAAATTAATAAAACCTATTTCTGCTCTCCCAATAGTTTCTGTAAATGTGATGGTTATATCTGAGAAGATCTCTGAAATTTATACTACTTCTAAATGTTTTAAGTTTATTAGTTAATTAATTATTTAGAAATTGCACAGATTGCGGATAGAAAAATTTTCACTATAGAAGTTCATAAACTCTGAAACATATGAGCAGCACCTAATGTGACTACCCTAAAAAGTTGGTTTTTGCAATTTTTTCTGCAAGATGTAAAAAAATGTCGAATTTAGCTTAAAGATGAGATGACTTTTGGTCCGTCAAAATTACATTACAAATACAGAGGTACGGAGAAATGCATATATACAAAGTAAGAAGGAAAAAAATCAAAGCGATAGAATGATTTGTCTTCGAGTTACAACTGCTGAAAAATGCTATTTCAAAAAATGCATTTAAAGATGAGTAAGCTAAGCTGATTAAACTTAGCTTTAGACTTTAGAAAACTGTTACTAAAACACAAGTTTTATTTTTTTTAATTTTAGTCTGACCTATTGAAATATGCAAAAAATGACGTTTCTCGAAATTTCACACTAAGTGTGCCACTTAAAAATTAATTTCTCTACTAATTATAAAATTTGGGATTGAATAGTTCTAACTAAAATATGTAGCACCATTACACGTTATATTTTATTAAAAATTATATTAGAAATTAATTTAACCTTGATTACAAATAATGTTATAATATAGAAATCACAAAAATATTATTTTTTTAAATTATTCTTAAAATAGAAGAGCAAGCTTTCAGCTAACCATGCCGCACAAAAGCATTATAAAGTCAATCATTTGCCTGCAATTTAAATGCGAAAAATATTTTCCAATCAAACTGTGTGCATGAAAAGTGAACTTTTTCCGCAAGTAAAAATAATTTTTTCAGCGCGTCACTGCTTGCATTATTATAAATAGTCTATTTTTTCGTAGCTTGAACTTATTGCGTCACATTGTTGCAATGCATTTGTGCCCAAGCCAATTTTTGGTGAATTATTTGTGAATTGTTGTAGTTGCTTTTGTTTATTTGTTTTCTGTGTCAATATGTTACTTCACAACTTTCGTCTAATTGCTAAAACAAACAAAAGCCATAATTACGAGTACGAGGTGAGCTCTCTGTTTGGATTTGCCAACTACTGTGAAAATTAATCTCCTCACGTACGAGCCGAAATAATGTTGACAATGCGTTAAAGCGAGTTTTACTTCACTCCCAAGACAATGAAACGACAATACGATGCCATGGACAACTATGCGACTAGCTACTGACTGGTAATCGCCTGATGATAAGCAAGTCAAAATAAAAAGCCTACGAGTTTTGATTACATTTACGGTATTTTTTTGTTTTTGTGACATTGAAATCGCGCTGGCTGACAAAAAAAAAAAAAAACACGAAAACAAAAACGAAAAAGAGAAAGAGAAAATCAAACAAAAACTAGAAGAATGATCTAATTTTTATTTGGAAAACGTGCAGTGGCAGCCTGATGTCGTCGTCGGGCCTTTCGATTTCATTAGCTGAGTCGGAGTAGCCACAAAAATATGTATATCACGTAGAGTCGCGCACAGCACAAATGGCAATAGAATGTTGCAGGGGGGCGGGTGGTGAGGTGGGGTAGGCGATCTCTCACCTTCTTTGGAAAAATTCTCAAAACTGTGATTACGCTAAATGAACAAATGAGCACATAAATACACCGCTTACATACACATGTACATATGTTTGTATATTCGCACATAATGAGTAGTGATAAGACCTGTTCTACAGTTCTGTGTATTTATCTACAAACATATCTATATACATATGTATGTATGTATGTATGTTATATATGGTACACACATTTTTAATATTAGCAGCAAATTAAATTTGAACGCTCGGTACTCACGCTCAGAAGCCTCAGTATGAAATAATTGTGCACTACACCTGCTTGAGGCAATCTTATTTTTGCCCAACACCGACCGCTCGTCCGGCGCGCGTCGCCCACTGCCTATCGGCACATAAAGTTTTGTTTTGAGAACTGTGTGTTGTTGCTATTTTTGGACTTTTGCGCTGCACAAGTGGAGCAGTAAACATTATTCACTCTCCAGCGCACCGCTACTGCTAACAACAACAACAGTATACACACACACACACTCACAAAGCGGTAGATGGATTGGTAGCACGACGTTGAGAGGCCCGTTATTTCGACCCATATGCAGAATTTGTCGCAGGCCTCAAACACACATGAGCGTCAGTGTATGTGTGTGTGTGTGTGGCAATATATCGATTGCGGGGTCAGCAGCGCGGGTGAAGACACACACACATAACTGAATGTGCTGAGCGCGCCGCTAAAAGAGCAACACACCGGCGCTTTTGCACTTGCGAGTGTGTGTGTGTGTGCAGTTGCTTGCGCGCTTGTAGGGTCGCTGTACGGCGGCGTGTGTGTGTGTGCGCGGTATGAGCTGCAAGTGCTCTAGCTACACTGGCTCATTTCAGTTATTCATAAGCACTACACTTGTCGGGACAAAGAGCTGCATACGCTTTACCGCTATTTTATCGGCAGACATTTACGTCGCAGACTTAACTATTTCTATGACACCTCAACGTGTGACTGTCATTCTGTAAATAATTCGGTTAAAAGCAGAAGAAAGCCATAAAGCGAAAACTAACAAAAACTTAACTGAAACAAGTACAAAAACATATGGGGGAAAAAAAAGCTGGCGAACACCTCACAGATAGGCGGTTGAAGCTGAAGTTGTGTAGCGAGCACTTGTGGTGGCGTTGTATGTCGCAGTTGCGTCAGCGACCGCAGATAAAGACAAATTTGCGCTGTGAGCACTGCTTAAAGCCGGGTCTAAAGAAGTGCCTACGTTGTGCTTAGGGAGCCATACAAAAGAAAGTAGAAAAAAGCAAATAAAACAACAAAAAGAAACACCTACAAACGCGCATTACTCATACTCCCTGTAGCACCGCGCGGAGCGATTCCGGAGCTACAGCTGAATTACGCGTTCATTTGCTTCTGTTAATTCGCGCATTTTTTCAACACTCAAAACATTGCGCTTCCCTTGCGCTCGTGTATCTGTGGGTGTGTGTGTGTATGTGTATTATCTCTTATCCATCGGCTGCATTAAAGTTGATTGCGCAAATTTTAAGCAGTTCGCATTCTTTGCTTGAAGTTCTTTCACGTCAATTTGTATTCCTACTGCGCCCTTCGTCCGGCTGCGCTGCTCGTCGCTGCTGCTACTGGAGTTACGTGGCTTTGCGCCGAGTACGCTGCGTTTTTTCTTTTTATTGGCGTAATTTGTTGCATTTTATTTGCATTTGCAATTTATACCAAAGAAAGCAAACAGGCAAGCAGGAAAGTGCAGCAAGTACGTATTTAGTTACTTACAAAAGCACCGGGGGGGAAAAGAAGTGGAGCGGCGCGGCGCGGCGCATCGAGTAAAATCCGAATTCTTAGCGCAAAAGTGGATTCACTTGTTTAACTTTAACAAATACAACAATAAATAATGGTGAAAAAGTTGCTGCACCAACTCGAACTCGTTCATTCGTTATTCCACGCATTTGTGGCAAGGAGCCAATAGCGATTTGTATTTTACTTTCCGATTCCATCTTGTTGAGTAGTAGTTCCTGCTTATTTATTTACTTATTTTTTGTTATTTTTTTTCATTCTTTCTGCGTGGGCGACGTCTGTTGCTCCGCAAGGGCTCCTACGTTTTTTTCAACTTCCGCAATCTTTTTTCGTTCGGATTATTTTCTTATTCGCAAATTTTATTTGCATGCATAGTACATACTGCCTTATTGGTTGGTTGCACAAGCAAAGCAAACAATATGCGATT